GACATTGACCCCGTCCTGGGCCCGGCCACAGCCAATCGGTGCGCGAGGCGAAGGCTGCGTCCCACGTGCTGCAGACGGTGTGGAGCTACAAGGAGCTGCGTGGAGCCCTGCAGAGGGATGGCTGGACCAAGGCACGCTTCCAGGTGCAGCCTGCACAGCCTTTCCTTTCTCACATTGCCAGGCTGGGTCCCTGGCTGGAGTGCCCCTGACCCCCACCCCTGTCTGTTTTGCTCTCTCCCCTCCAGTCAGCTGCTGCTAATGCCAAGGGGCCCAAGGGAGCACTGAGTCCCGGAGGGTTTGATGACAGCACACTGCCGCTGGTGGACAAGAGCCTGGGTGAGGATGGGCGGGTTGGGGTGTGGGAACCCATCCCTGAGGTGGAGTAGCCTCTCTACACGGTGCATTGATGGTGACAAGGCTGGTGAGGCGTGGAGGAGGGAGGTGGGCTGTCTTACAGGAAAATGGCCTCAGGGTGGCCCCTTTCCCTGTTTGCAGCCTTTTACATCCTCTCCACCACGGTATTCATGCTGGTGCCAAGCTGTGGGAAGAGGTTGGCAATGGGCAGTGACCCAGCAAAAGGGTGCAAAGATGTTAGTGATGAAGGGTACCCAGGGTCTCTGAGACCAGCCCTGCCATGGATGTATCTGCCCTGGCCCCCCCACTGCTGCTTGCAGCCAGCCAGCCCCTTGCTTGTGCCTTTTAGATGGTGAGAAGCCAGGCAGCCGGGATGTGATCCCCATGGAGGCCCTTGGCCCAGGTGAGTGCAGGGGCAGTGCTGCGTGCTTCCTGTGTGGGGAGGAGGGGGCGTGGGCCAGGTGGTTATGCTGTGTGTGTGTGTGTGTGTGTGTGTGTGTGTATGCATGCGCGCGGGGGCGGGAGTGGGGGTGGGGGTCCTGAGCTGCCAAGGGGAAGCAATGAGCCTCTGCAAGGCCTGAGCGGTTGAGGCAGGGGGTGGTGAGAGCCGGGAGGAGGAGCTATGGGAAGACCTGTCCTAGGCCTCCAGGGCGGTGCTGGGGCAGGGAAGCTGGTGCCCTCTCCAGATGCACCCTGTCCCAGCCAGAGGGAGATCTGCTCCGTGGGGCCTGCCCCTCAGGATCCCCCTTGTGCCCCCACAGATGGATACTCCACGATGGACCAGAGAGAGTGGAGGGCTCGAGGCAGTGCCCCCGCAGGGGAGACCTCTGAGAAGGAACCGTTGAAAGTGAGTGGCTGTGGCAGAGGCCCAGGGAGGCAGCATGAGTAGTGGTTCCTGGAGAGGGGCTCAGGCGAGCTGGGGCCTGGCATCCACCTGGGGTGGGGCTCACCTGTAGGGCAGCCTGGCTGGGAGATTGGGCCCAGGGAGTGGCTCCTCCACCTTGGGAACCTCACATCAGAGTCAGTCTGTGGGTGCAGCTGGTTCGAAGCTCACACTCAGGGAGGGGGCACATGACAGGGGGCACGGCCTGGCACAGTGCACAGGACCCCAGGAGTCTGAGCAAGTATGTCTACCCCCTACTCTGCATGTGTGTGTGGGGGCAAGGGCCCATCGTGTTCCCACTTCCAGGGCAGCACCTGCCCCCTGCTCTTTGCCAATCCCCTGGCTTTGGGCACAGGCCTCGTGCATCCACTCGTCACTCTGCACCTGTGTGAGCCACATTAGCCTGGCTCCCCACCCCATCGGGCCTCCCCTCCTGTGCACCAGCATGGGCCCTGCCCCTCGGACCAGACCAGCGCCCAGAGTCAGCTCTGACTAACCTACTGTGTTCTGCCTCTAACACCCTCCTGCCCTCGCCCATCTGCTGCAGCCTGACCCCAGCAGGAAGGCTCCTCCTCCGGGGCCCAGCAGGCCCGCGGTCAGGCTGGTGGACGCTGTGGGGGACGCTAAGCCTCAGCCCGTTGACTCCTGGGTCTAGCTTGCATGCCTGGTACGTTCTCTCCTCTGGTTGTTTGTCCAGCTGTTTCCCGTTCTCTGGGTGGGGGCTTTTTGCATCTCTGCTGGCCGCATGCTCTGTCCCCCCTGCGCGCTCCCTGGTGGGACCCCTCCCCGCTCCACCACCTCTAGCCCAGCCGCCTGAATGCCCATCTTAGGGAAGGACAGCCAAGTCAGGGCCCTGAGGAGATGGGACCAGAGCAGGGATGGCCCCCCCTACACCTTGAAACACCCCAAGTGCATGGCCTCTGAAGAACAGCATGTTGGGATTGGCCCTGGTGGCGAGACCCTCAGGGTCGTCCCACAGCAGCTGCCTTTGTGTACACCTCCATCTGCCCAGTCTGAGGAGGCAGCCCTCCCCTGACACCCTGCCACCCTGCCACCCTGCTCAGCCTTTCCCTCTCCCTCCTCAGGGCCTGGGCCCAGCTTTTCATTCTTAGGCATCTGATCATGGGAAGAAGGGAACTCCAGGGCCAGCCTGCACAGACCCAGCCTCGGAGCTCGGAGCCCCCTGGCGGCAGGGGTCGGCAGTGCCTCTGCGCGGGATCCAAGGCTGGACTTTCTGGACACGCCTCCCTTCCCACCCCCTCGCTCCCTCCCTCCTAACTCCCTGGGCAGAGTTAGCTGTTTACTGGCGTGCGTGGTGCTGTGTGCATGGTGCTGTGTGCGTGGTGCTGTGTGCATGGTGCTGTGTGCGTGGTGCTGTGTGCATGGTGCTGTGTGCATGGTGCTGTGTGCATGGTGCTGTGTGCAAGTGCGAGAGAAGGCTGGGGGCTGCAGGGAAGGGTCCCGGGAGGCAGCAGGAGAGGGGGCCTGGCTTTGCTTTGGGGTCGGAAGAATAGGAGAGTGTAGTTGCCCCAGAAGAACTGGGCAGCTGGCCCTGGGAACAGGCAGCTGGGCAGAGAGGGGGGCTCAGGAGTTTGACTCTGAAGGGTGGAAGGGATCCCCTGGGTTTCCACTCCTGCCCCCCGCCCCAGACCAGCCACTGGGCTGCTCTAGGGGGACTGACCCCACAGAGAGGATTGGAGACAGCGAGATGGGGGTCAGGCTGTTCTAGCCCCCACCCTGCCCTTGGATGCGTGGAACCCCAGTGCAGTGGGAGCCTCCCTAGGTACACTGGCCTCGGTGCAGCCTCTGCGCTCTGTCTGCCAGAGGCTGGGGCCTGACCCCGCCCGGACTGACCCTCCGCAGCAGTGGGGGACTGCTGTTCAGTGCCTGCTGTTTGTGACTTCAAAACAGAAGAAAAACACTGACAAAAAGCATTTAAAACAAAACCAAAATAAGACTGTATTGGTAAACACGTAAATTTTTGTAAGAAAATTTAAAAATTAAAAAAAGCGACCAAGGAACTTCTTTCATGGCTCAGATCTCTCGCCACAAGCTGATTGCTCCTGTTTGCGAGGTGGGGAGTTTGTGTGTGTGTGTGTGTGGGTGGCCCCTGGTGTCCAGAGGGATCTCAGCTCTCAGGCCCCTGGGTGGTTCCCACACACATTCTCCCAGACTCGCTGCGGTCCCCTTGCTACATACAGAGAGGGGTGGGCTTGCTCCTGGTGGTTGGCTGGGCCCTGAGCCCCAGCGTGGTGTCCTGGGCAGAGGGGCTCATCCAGGATGGGATGCTCCCCTGAGTTGACCAGAGGTCCAAGCCGTCTGCGGGGTTGGGATTGGAGGGACAGGGCCAGGGCTGGAGGCAGCTGTGGGTTTAGTGGCTACAGATCAACTCTACCTCATTGCTCACCAGCTGTGCGGCCTGGTCTCAGCCTGTTGTCTCTTCCATACACAAGGCTGAGTGGGCCTGGGGAGGTGCCTCCACTTAGTGCCACCGGGGGCCCCGAGGGACCAGGTGCTGGAGGCCATGCCTGGCTCTGCTGCAGGCTGAGGCCTCCATTCCCCAACACCTGCTTGGCCAGAGATGAAGGGTGGCCAGCTGCCCTGTCTGGTTTCCCAGGTGACACGGCCTCCAGCTGGGGGCTGAGCCCAGCCTGCAGCTGTCCAGGTGGGGCTGTGACAGGCTCCTGGCCTGGCCACCGGAGGAGCAGTGCTGGGAGCCCTGGGCGCATGGGCAACATTGGCATCCAGTCAAGGGGAGCGCTGTGTGTTTGGTGCCACCACGGAGGGCGCCAGGGGAAGGAAAGAGCAGCGCACTGGTTGAAAAAGAACAAAGTTGACCTCTTATATCGAAATAGTTAGATCTTTAATTACCATTTTAGTATCTTTTAGTCATGATATCAATATATAAAATTGTTAAAAATTGGCCCGTTTTAGTGAAGTTGCATTTCCTTCTTAAAAAGGAGAAGAGAAAACGAGGAATCAGCGGTGCGACGTGTTGTTGGTCACAGTGCCAGCACTGAGGCATGGCTGCCGCCTGGTGAGTGCACAGCCCAAGTTTCCAGATGTTCCCCACTTTCCCCTTTGCTGGGTCAGGGCCTGTCCGTGTGAGAAACCCTACTGGCATGCTGGTGGGGTGAGTGAGCCATGGCACCACCTAACCCTGACTTGGTATTCACAGATAACTTTCCAGACTGATGGCAGGGACTGTGCATGGGGAGCGGGTTGCTCTGGGGTGGGTTGGTGTGTGACGGCCTGGAGCCATGTGCAGAGGGGCCAGTGTGGCTGGCCGTGGCCTCGCAGGCCTCCAGTGTGTGGCACTGACAGACCCCAGAGCTGCAGAAGCAGGGTTGGCGGCAGCATACCCATCGTGACCTTCCTGACCAGGCTTGGCGAGTGCCCCAGAGCAGGGGAGGCGGTCAAGGCCGTGCGGGGCTGTCCGGGCCCATGTAGACGGCCTTCTCCAGGCCATCCACGGCCTGGGAGTACTCCAGGAAGGAGGAGAAGTGTGTGCAGTCAAAGCGGCTGCTCCCACGCACGTGCGCCAGAAACTCCGGCGCTCCTGGGTAGATGACGTTGTCAGCCAGCAACACCGTCCCCTTGCGTAACAGGCCGCACTCCTGCAGGGGGCAAGACAGTTGGAGGGGGTGAAGGTCAGGGGTGCCCATCAGGTTTGCTCCAAACCAGCAGGACAGGTGCCCCTGACTGGGTGGAGGCTCCATATGCTGGCCTGACCCCTAGGTGAGCCCCCTCACCTCCTAGGGTCACAGAGTCCCTCTGTAGCCCTCCTCCCCAGCATGTCCCCTGCACGAAAGGGCTGTGCTGAGTGTAGGTCCCACCTCTAGCACATCAGCTCTGAGGGTCTTTTCCTCCGTTCACGCCTGCATCCTTGGCCCCTAGAACTGTGTGCAGTACACAACAGGGGCTCACTAAATGCTAGCAAGATGACTGGAGGTGATGATGGGGTGGGGATTCGGGTCACAGTGCTAAAGCCAGTGGGTCCCTCATCACCCAGAGCCAAGAAAATGCAGCTTCTCCAGGTGGGAAAAATGCCTGGTGCCTCTGTGTGTGGCTCTTGGGGTGGTCCCCGGAGGTGCAAGCTGGCCTCACCAGGATGACCCTGCAGTGCTAGGGGGGCAGGGGAGAGGCACATCTCCCCACCCACAAGCCTGCCCCTCAGGGATTCGCTTTGGACATCCCCAAGCCCCAGCATTCGACATGCCCCATTCCATCAGCCACCGGGCCCTGGGCAGCCAGCTGGCATGCTGGGCCTGGCCCTGCAGAAGGAAGGAGGAGCAGCTGGACACAGCCTAGGTCCTCCAGCACTCACAGCCCTCTGAGCTGAGGGAGGGGCTGCTTCGATCACAGGGAACAATAGAATGGGAAGCCTAAAGGGGGAATGTTTACCGTGGGGGACAGGTGGACTAGGGTAAGGGTTGCCTTGTCTCCTGGATTTGACTTTGGAAGCACAGAACTTTTTTACATAATCATAACAGTTTAAAAAAACACACAAAAGCAATCCAAACACGGAAAACAAGTGACCCCAGGTGTGTCTGAAACTGCCCATAGGACCACACACGTGGGGCATCTCCAAGTGACTGAAAATCGGACTAACTCTGCACCCCTCCAGGGCTGTGCCCTAGGACCCCTTACTGGGGTCCCAGCCCTCCTGGTGGTGGCTGCGGTTCCCTCCAGCCTGTGGGCTGTGGGGGAAGCCAAGGGCCCTCCAGCCAGAGCTCTGGAAAACACGCAAGTGTGAGGTCACGAGGCTGGGGCAACCCACGAGACAGGATTTGAACAGAATGTATCATTATGAATCATAGAGTGTTTTCTCTTAAAAAAGAGATGGAACAGAACTTTTAGCAACATTGCCTAAAAAGACCGAAAAAAGAGCACCCCGGGGGGAGGTGCCCCGGCCCAGGCCCCAGAAGGGCAGCTCAGGGCGGGCAGGAAGTGCACAAAGTGAGCTGGGAGCAGGGGCTCCAGCCTCGAAGGGTCCCGCTGAAGGACTCAGGGCACCACTGGCACTGAAAACCACCCAGTTCCCCGGGAGAAGGAGCGGAAGGGAGGAAACTGGACCACCGGTGGAGGTTGCTGGGGCCCATCCATCCCCGAGGAAGCTGGCCATGAGGGGGAAGACACGGTACCTGCCCTGCCTCTTCCCAGACACCAGCCTCCTACAGGACACAGACCTCTGGAGACTTCTGGCCAGAAGCTCAGAGGCTGAGCAAGCCGGTTGTGCCAGCTGCCTGGGAGGAAGTGGTGTGAGCACAGGGTGCCAGGTGTGAGGTGATTGTAACTGTGTCCACAGGTCACAGACCTTCTAGGGGTGGATGTGGGCCGGGCTCAGGGACTGGCTTCTAACAAAGAGAAGGCAGGAGCCACAGGGCGTGGCTTCGCAGACTAGGTCACACTCGGCCCCCTCCTTCTGTCTGTCTGTCTGTCTCTTGCTCTCTCACCTCTGGCTTTGGGGGAAGCCAGCTGCCACGTTGGAGGACACCTCAAGCGGCTCCGTGGAGACACCCAGGTGCCAAGTGGCTGAGGCCTCCTCAAAGTGGCCTCCAACTTTGAACAGACACCCCCCCCTCCCCCCGGGCCCCTTATTCCCAGCAGAGGGGAGGGGCAGCTGGCCCTGCCCCGCACCAGCCAGGGGCCTGCAGAGCCACAGGTGTGGGGCGGCAGACAAGCTGGAAAAGTACAGCTGGTCCCATTCGTGCCTTCTCTTTTGAGAGAATTACCAGCCTTGAACAAGGAGCACTGAGAAACTATCAGTCTCCTAGTTACTGAACGGCAGTATTTGCTGCTCTTCGGTAAATGCAGGCCCCTGTATTTATCACCACATTCAGGCTGCTGAAATCCTCCCCACGCCCTGTGACACAGGCCCCGCTGGGCTGGCCACCTGGTTTCTGCCCTTAATACCTCGTTTCCAGGCTCTCGCCCCTCTGCCTGGTGGACCTCCCCAGGCTCAGGCATGCTCCCCTCCGCTGCCCTCCCCCCACCCCACGTCTCCTTGTCATCTCCGCATTGTCCGCATGTCTTAGCCAACACAGGACCCGTCCAACTTCTAGTCCAGGGTCCCCTCCCTTCCCACCACCAGCACTCCCTGCCTCCCTGAGGTTCGGACATCTGCACCTCCCCACGCTCTACACGCCCAACAGGGATCTTTCCTGGACACTAACCTCACCCTCATGTGCTAGGAGCTCTTGTGCCCCCGCCCATGTGGCATGTGAGGCCCTCCGCACACAGCTCTGGCCCTCTGCCCCAAGTCAGCCCACACCTGGAACACTCAAAGCCCTTTCACACCCACCGGAACCACTGGGTTCCAGTTGCTGCCCAGTCTTCAGCCGTGGCTCCTGTGCTCCCAGCCCCTGCCCTGGGCAGAGTGTCCACCCCGTGGGGGAGCCGAGGTGGATGAGCACGGGACAGATAACATGGGACAGCGCCAGGCTGGCCCTCGGGCAGGGAGCTGGGGTGGGATAGCGTGCTTCTAAGAGTCCTCTTGACCAACCAGGAGGGCCAACGCAGTGGGCACGGATATTAAATGCCACGTGTCAACTCATTACAGGCCCCAAGCTCCAGACCCCTGACCAGGCAACCACTGGTCACCACTTTGTGTGGCACTGAGGGCTGGGACAGTCTGGCAGTGGAGGCATGGGGGGTGCAAAGCAAGGAGCCCCAGGAAGAAGGGCAGGAGACGCTGAGTTCCCTGACCAGCACCGTCCAGCTGGGAGAGCCAGCACGGCCGCCAGGCTGCTTCCCTCCTGCCTCCTCTGCCCTGTGCCCTTTGGATCAGACCATCTGGTCCATGAGCTCCCCACCTGCTGCCCTGGCACAGGCTGCCAGAACCCTTTCCTGGTCTCCGTCCTGCCCCAGGCCTCCTGCAGTCCTCTGAGCTCCCTGACCCTCGGCGGCCAGTAGGAGCCACCTGTGGCCCCCAGACCCCTCCTTGGCAGGGCTTCGCTGGAGTACTTGGCTCCTCAGAGGCTGAGGCCCACCGGCCGGGCAGCCTGTGCCGGCAGCCAGCGCATCCCGACCAGGTGGCGGCACAGCTCACCTCCAGGAGGAGCGTGTCCGGCAGGTACCGGTCCTTCCAGTGGTCCAGGAAGACCATGTCCAGCGTGTCCACGTCATATTTCTTCTTCAGCTGGGGGATGATGTCATGGGATGCCCCCACGATCACGGTTACCTGCAACAGCGCCCCATCAGTGCCTGTGCCCACGGGGGTCAAAGAGCCCGCCCCACCTGGACGCCCAAGCAAGCCCACCGACAGTTTCTCTGCGGTTCTGGGGACACAAGTCTCCACTCTGCCCCTCCCTCTGCGGAGGTTTCCTGCCCTGAGGAATGGGCAGTAAGGAGCCCTCACGGAGCTGCTGGAGGCCCGTGAAACCTGGCCCAGGAGGCCCTGAGGCCTGGCTGCAGCGGGATAAGTGTGGTCTGGAACCATGCGGGGCAGGCCCCAGGCCTCCCCCTCCCATCCACCCACACCTGGCCTGTCAGTGTCCACATCTGTCACCGGGGGAGGTGTCACACCCGGTCCTGCAGGCCCGCGAAGTCCAGCATCTGCTGGGTGATGGCAGCGTAGTCAGGATTGAGCTCGATGGTGAGCAGGCGGGCGCCGGGTGCCAGCAGGCGGCCCATCCGAACGGCTGAGTAGCCACAGTAAGCCCCCAGCTCCAGCAACACGGAGGGGCGCTGCTCCCGCACCACTGCGTCCACGATCAGGCCTTCAGGGGTGGACAGGGGTGAGTGCAGGCAGGAGAAACCCACTCCCAGTCCTGGTCGTTTCCTTCTGACTAAGCGACAGCCTCTCCCAATGCCTGGCCCCAGCCCTCTCCCAAGGCCCCATCCCACCGTACAGACCCCCCCAAGCTCCCATGATACCTTGGGCCTCTGCCTTTCCACACACTGGCCCTTCTCTTTCCATGTTCCCTGGCTGACTGTACTGGCCCTAACCCAGAGCTGCCCTCTGTGGAAACCTCCCCACCCGATCCCCAGGGGCCTCGCTCAGGGCCTTCCTAGCTCCCTGGAGCCAGACAGTAGCTGTCACGTTTGTCCTCAGGGCTGGACTTCAGGGCATGCAACACAGCACACTCCTGTGCCCCACCCTGGAGTCAAAGGTCAGGAGGCAGCCAGTGCCTGGGCTGGGCAGAGTCTAAGGAGCTCTGTGCACCCTCATGCCTGGCAGGGACACCCAGGAACCCATTGCCCACCCTGCACCAGCCGGGCTCTGAGGGAAGGTGTGTGAGTACAAGGCCTGCATGGAGCCACTGCTGTCCCCTCTAATACTGGCTGTTGGTCTGTGGCCAGGAGGGGACCCCACACAGTGGCCTCCTGAGTGGTTTATCGAATGTCCCTCCCTCCCCACGGGGACGGTGATGTGGGCGTTAGGGTCTCTGCACAGCCTTGACCCCCGGCTGGACAGGTGGCTCGGACCCCCCAGGGCTCCAGATGAGCACCCACCCCAACACGCAGAAATGGGGCGATAGTAGTCCCCTCCTGTATGGGCTGTGCTGCCTGGCCTGGGGGCCCCCTTCCTGTATTCACTACCTGCTGGCCAGGCCACCCACCTTTCTTGTCGCCCACGTTCATGGCCCACTCCTTCTGCGAGCAGTAGGTGTCGATGGCCTCCAGCACGCTCTGCGGGTCCCCGGCCACGGCATGCTGCAGCACGTGTCGCAGGATGCGCTGCTCCTTGCTGTCACCCATGAGCAGGTTGTAGATGGGCTGCAAGATGAACTCGGTCCAGAAGATGAGGAGCCAGCCACGGCGTCGCAGGAAGAACAGCAGCCCCAGCAGTGACAGGCACAGTAAGAAGGCCACCACCAGCAGGGGTGGAGTCTCCAGCATCTGACACAGGGCAGGGGTGGGGGGGGGGGGGGGGAGGAGAAAGAAGGAGGAGAGAGTCAAGGGGGAGGTGGCCAGCTTCAGTGCTTTGTGGCTGGCCAGGCAGTCCTGAAGCCAGCTGGGGGCTCAAGTCCCCCCAAGTTCGTGCAGACCCGCCCTCCTGGCTCTCCCACTTTCTCCTCGCTTTGTTGGTGCTACTGCTGTAGGCAGTAAGACATGAGCAGAGCAAGGGACAATCAATTGTAGGGTGGGCCCTCGCCCCCAGGGTGACCTTTTCTCCCCTAGCAGACCCTGGTCATGAGGTTTGGACCCCCTGACCTTTCCTCCCTAGAGCTAACATCTAGGCCTCGGTTGTATTTCAGCTCCAGGCCCAGAGAAGCAACAGGAACCAGCCATGGCTGACCTGAGGACCAGCTGCAGGGAATAATGACCCCTTACCCTGGTGCCGGCCAATCCATCAGTGGAGAACACTGAGTGGACACCCTGGAAAGCTACTGAATATTCTATTAAGACAGTGGTTCTCAGCCTCGGCTGCACATTAGAATCACCTGGGAATCTTTTTAAAATCCTGGTTTCTGGGCCTCATGCTCTGGAAATTCTGTTTCTTTGTTATACTAATGTTGTGGCCCCACCCCAGAACAAAGAAACAGAATTTCTGGAGGATGAGGCCCAGAAATCAGGATTTTAAAAAGATTCCCAGCCAAGGTTGAGAACCACTGTCTTAAGATCTTCTCCTGGGGTCTCCCCTAAAATTGCAGCCCTTAAAACCCTTAGGATGGAGGACACAGTGAGCTCTCCCTCCCAGGAGCAAGCCTGTTCCCTCCTTCTCCCCACCTCCCTGCCCCAGGCACTTTCCCGTTAGCTCCTCATTCCCAAGCTCCAGGGGCCCTTCCTTTATCTCCATAACTCGCTTCTCAAGCCCATTTCTTCTAGGAATGACTTCTCCCCCTGTGATTTGCCAAACAAATGTTCTCTCTCTTTTTTTTTTAAATATATATTTTATTGATTTTTTACAGAGAGGAAGGGAGAGAGATAGAGAGTTAGAAACATCGATGAGAGAGAAACATCGATCAGCTGCCTCTTGCACATCTCCTACTGGGGATGTGCCCGCAACCCAGGCACATGCCCTTGACCGGAATCGAACCTGGGACCTTTCAGTCCGCAGGCCGACGCTCTATCCACTGAGCCAAACCGGTTTCGGCCAAACAAATGTTCTCTTACAGTTGGGGTCTTGCTCTGAATTCTTTCCTAGCCAGAACCCAAGTACTGAGGTTGCTGAACCCAGGTTTGGTCTGACCCCACCAGTCTAACACCGGCTGCCGTTCCTGCCTCCCCACTGCCCACCTACAACCCTACCATTGTCCCCCTTGTGCTGATGGGGGCTCAAGGTTCAAGAGGTCAACCAAGTGCCCCAGTGCCCGGGGAGCAGAGGCCCAATCCCCCTGCTAAGAGCTTCCAGCTAAGGCCGAATCCTCAGGCAGACTGCCAGGTGTGTGTCTGACAGTCCTGCCTGGGGGCCTACTGGTCACAGTCCCCCTCTTTGGGCACGTTCCCAGACAGCCTGGGACCTAAGGGGGGCACAGCTGGTACAGGGGAGTCCTGTTCTATGTTCAGCCCACGTGGGTGCCCACACAGAATAGTCTGGGATCTCATGTAGTTCTCTGAGTTTCAAAATAAGGACATAGGCAGTCCTCAGGCCAGGCACAGGGAGCGAGTCTATTTCCTTTTTTTTTTTTTTTCCTTCTGAAGATTTTTTTCTGAAGAGAAAGGTAAAGAGAGAGAGAGAAACATCGATGTGAGAGCGAAACATCAATAGGCTGCCTCCTGCATGTCTCCTGCCGGGGGACTGAGCCAGCCACCCAGGCATGTGGCCTGACCAGGAATCAAACTGGCAACCTTTTGGTGCATGGGACGCCCAACCAACTGAGCCACACAGGCCAGGGCTCGAGGCTATCTCTGGACAAGGAAGGCCAGGCCTGCCACCGGCACCCCAGTGTAAGTGAGAGGTGCCAGTTGTATCCGCTGCTACAAGTGCCTGATGGCCTGCCCTGGCTTGCCACCCCTCAGGCAAGTAGGTCAGGAGCCAGCCACATGGAGCTGGGCCAGGGCCCCTGGAGACAGGGCAAGGCTGGGTTAGCGCCGAGATCTCAAAGTGTTCAGGGTGTGTGCTTGGATTTCAGGCTGGAGACCTCACCATGTTAAAGGACCAAAGAAAGAGGATTATGGGAAGCTTCCACGGGGGGGCTGGTCACTCACAGGAAAGGCCCTTGGAATCCTGGCTTTCACTCGGAAAGGCACACCCTGGCGAGCAGGCAGGCTGAGGGTCTGGGAGGGGAGGCCCCCTCAAGAACAGCTGACGGCTCCAAGTCCCAACGCCCTGGACCACGAGGAAGAGGGGGCTGCGGGACAGCGGAGAATGAACGTGACAGCCGAGACTCTGCCCGGGGCGGCGTGGACACCAGGTCTCTAGGTTCTCTCAGGCCACGTGGCCTATTTACACAAGGCTGAGCGGACACGTGCTCAGCAGGTCCAAGTCTGCGCAACCAATGGGCCGGAATCCTCGCTTCACACCCCTGCTCCCAGCACCACCCCGACCTTCAGGGCAGATTTCCCAGCACAACCCCCACTGGGGATCGGCACGCAACCTGGGCACGTGCCCTTGACTGGAATCGAACCCGGGACCCTTCAGTCCGCAGGCTGACGCTCTATCCACTGAGCCAAACCGGCCAGGGCTGGGGAGCTCTTTTGCCTTGAGATAATCACCAATGGAAACTGTAACTTGAACATGGCCAGGGTCCAGCTATCTGGGCCCACCCTGGAAGCCAGTCTTGCTCTCTACCCTCCCTCCTCGGGGGAAAGAGCATGGAAGGCCTCAGAGAGGCAGAGACAGCCCAGGAGAGAAGGGACAGTCCCTCTGGTCCTCGCTGGCCCGCCGGGTTATGAGGGCACGTGCACCCGTGCCCTATGGAAAGCAGGAGAAATGAATGAACCACTCTGCTCAAGGCCTATTTCCCAGGAGAGCGATTCTCAATTTAGAAGTGACATATAAGACCAAGGGCGAGTTACAAAGAGCACCTACCAACCAGGGAGAAAAAGATGAGCTAAGGCAGCAAATACGAAGCTCACAGGAGGAGGCCAGGAGCCCCGAGCGGACACGGGAAACAGGAGCAGGTCTTGGCAGCAGAGTGGGGTGACCCTGGGCCTCACAGCCTGACAGCCTGTGAATCAGGCTGGTTTCTGTGGAAGTTCCCGGGCCCCCATGGGACAGGGCACACCGTGCAGGTGAGGGGATCACAGAGGGAGAGGGCGTGGTGGGTAAGGACAGTGTCTCCCTTCTAGGGCTCAGAGGACAGGAAACAATGGCGGGGCCTGCGCCACCTGAATGCCCAGGACTGTTCGCCGAGCTCCTGTCTGCGTGCTTAGTATTTCCCAGCCACCCCTGTGCTGCTTTATTTCTTGTTACTGTTATGACTAGTGTGTTTGGGTGGTGAGATGCTGGGCCATTTTGTTTTATTCTCTGTATTTAAAAAACCCTAGGAAATGTTAGAAATAAATATCTGAATTAAGAAGGAATATTCTGCTTAAATAGTGAATTACTTGGCAAACTCTGGGATCATAAACTATACATTTCAATCCCCTAAATACTCGAATTGTGTAAGAATCTGGCTTTTAAATCTCTATCTCCAGGTCTGTCTGTCCATAACTCCGCAGAAGGGTGCAGAGAGGAGCCCCTCCCCTTTCCTGTAAGGAGCAGGTGGCATGCCTGACAGGCAGGGCAGCTCTAAACGGGGCAGAAGTGGCCCCGCTGTGCAGGGGCTGTCATGCTTCCTCATCGCCCGTCATGCCCACCTCCCACTGGCTCTTCCAGGGTCCCCTTGGGCCAGGGGCATGGGGCTCAGGGAGACACTTGAGGTACTATCCCCCTCCCCCATGCAGCGCCTAGGGGAACAGGCTTCATGCCCACCTCATCTGGTCCTCCAGCAACTCTAGAGGGACTCGTTGCCCCCGGCCACCAGCCACAGTGCCTCCCAATGGGCACCTCCCCTTCTAAACCCCAGTAGCCTTCCCTGATTGTAGGGCCACCCTGTTTCTAAACCTTCCTGCTCTGCGTTGCCCAGCAGCGCTGGACGAGGCCACACCCACCCAGCCCTGGGAGAGAACAGTCCGGGTCCACCCGAGCTTTGCAGAACAAAAGGGCGGAAGTGTGAAACAGAGTCATGCCATCTTCTATAATAATAAAAGTGTAATATGCTAATTAGACCGGACTTCCTTCTGGACGAAGCCTGGACTTCGAGGGAAGCCGAGGTCCCAGGTGCCAGAGGGAAGCTGGTGCCGGCAGCCAGGGGCAAGGAGGCCTACTCTTGCACGAATTTCGTGCATCGGGCCTCTAGTTAAAAATAAAATCTCACAGACACCACAGGGGAAGCCATCCAGAGCTTGCAGATGTTCTGACCTGGGATTTTGCCCTGTGAGTCCTTTGTGGGGAAATTAAACACGGGAGCTCCTCTTGTTTTGGATCTTGGGACCTGAGTGCCTGCTGCTCTGCCCTTGGAAAGAGCTGAGGGTGAGGGCAGTCTGCTCCCGGGAGACAGCTCAGCATTACAATAGCCAGAGCACAGAAACAACCCAAGTGTCCGTCAATCGATGAGTGAATGGAAAATGAAATGTGGTCCATCCAAACAATGGAATATTATTTAGTTACTAAAATGAATGAGATACTGACAGACGCTACTCCATAGATGAGCCCTGATGACATTATGTGCCCAGCCAGAGTGGCACAGTTGGTTGGAGTGTTGTCCCGTACACCACAAAAGGTTTTGGCTTCAGTCCTGGGTCAAGGCACATACAGAAGGGAGCCAATCAATCTCTCTCTCTCTCTCTCTCTCTCTCTCTCTCTCTTTGTCTTCTCCCTCCTCCCTTTCTCTCAGCATAAACTCAGGTGAGGATTTTTTTTTTAAAAAAGACATTATGCTCAGTGAAATAAGCCAGACATAAAAGGATAAATATTGTATGATTCCACTTATATGACAAAGAATAGGCAAATCCATAGAGACAGAAAGTAGAATAGCGGTTGCCAGGGGCTGGAGGGAGGTGGAATTACTGCTGAATGGGTAGAGTTTCTTTTTGTTTTTTGTTGTTGTTGTTAATCCTCACCCAAGGATATTTTTCCATTGATTTTTTTTTTTTTTTTTTTTAGAAAGAGTGGGAGGGGAAGAAAATCAGAGAGAAAAAGAATCAATGTGAGAGAGAGACACACTGATTGGTTGCCTCCACATGAACCCCAACCAGGGTTGGGGATCGAGACAAAGAATAGGCAAATCCATAGAGACAGAAAGTAGAATAGCGGTTGCCAGGGGCTGGAGGGAGGTGGAATTACTGCTGAATGGGTAGAGTTTCTTTTTGTTTTTTGTTGTTGTTGTTAATCCTCACCCAAGGATATTTTTTCCATTGATTTTAAGAGAGTGGAATGGAGGGGAAGAGACAGAGAGAAACATCAATGCGAGAAAGACACATAGATTGGTTGCTCCCACACGTGCCCCAACTGGGCCAGGGATGGAAGATCAGTTGCAGGCCGATAATCTAACATTGAGCAAGACTGGCTAGGGCTCAAAAATAAATCTTTAAAATAATGTTATGATATGTGAAGAGGGGGAAAAAAATCCCACAGGCTGCATGCACCTAGCGGGGCACCTGCCTCCAGGGTGCACGCTGCTCTCCCCTCTTGGAGGCAGGAGAAGGGGTCTTCCTGTCCCAGCAGAATCTGCCCCCCCCCCCCATGCTTCCTTTCAACGTGCCCAGTGCGTGCATCCAGCGTACATGTCCGACAACACAGACATGGCGAGGGGCAGGCCAGGCCCTTTCCCAAAACCCCAATAGCACGCACCACCCCCCAATAAACTTTCCTTATCTAAACCCATTCTTATGTATTCTCCCTGCAACACCTCAGAGGCAGAGGTCAGTCAGATGGGTCACTGACACCCAGAGCCATCAACCCCTGGACCTTTAACTCCATAATCCTTTGTGACAAAAGTGTTTTGCCACATCCAGCTTGACGCAGTTAAACTTCACCAATGTCTAGCTCCCGCCGCCCCCGCCACCAACATCTGCATGTGGGGTGCTCCATTCGCCCTACAGGCATGCCCCTCTTGGCCCACGGTGCTCCTGAGGCTGGGGTTGGGGGTACTTTGTGCTTGGTAGCCAGACAGTTTATCACTTTGTCAGCTGGTCAGTATTCATTTGCACATTTAGCACATCCTAGATGACACTCATCTTTCCTTCAAGGAAATGGAAACATTTTTCATAAATATATTGCACGTAAGCACCAGTGGGTGTTACTGAGACTCTTAAAAATTCTTTAAAAGGATGAATTGCCCAGCCAGCATGGCACAGTGGTTGAGCGTCGACCTACGCACAGTAGGTCACGGTTCGACTCCTGGTCAGGGCATCTGCCAGGTTGTGGGCTCAATCCCCAGTTTGGGGCGTGTAGGAGGCAGCCAACCAATGATTCTCTCTCATCACTGATGTTTCTCTCTCTCTCTCTCCCTTTCCCTTCCTCTCTGAAATAATAATAATAAAAAAAGATGAACTAACTATATGACCCGGTTCCTAGGCTCATTTAAAAAACCCATAAAAGATCAATAGAAATGCCTTCGGCCCCTTGGCAAAGATCCCGCATTGCCGACACCTCCTCTGTCTCTGCCTCCCACTCATTCTGGGCGCCTGTGGGAGGGGCAGGATGTCACTTACTCCATTGGCTGCAGGAGTGACAGAAGAAAGGTCCGACCTTAGAATATAAGGGACAATCTGGGGGCAAAAGCGGGTGGGCTGGCCAGGATCCTGTGGTGGGGACAGGATATGCCTGCCAGGGAGGGGTGGTTGGCCATCTGCCCGGCAGGCCAGCCTGTATGTCAGAGCCCAAGATCCTGCTCTGCTGGGTAACTGGGAGCAAGCTTCCTGGCAGCTCTTGGGCACCGTGAGCAAAACCCCAGCAGGTGTCTGGTTGAGCCCTGTCCCCTCATGGAAACTGAATGTGACTCCTCCTTTCACGCCCTCCGGCACCCAGAGAGATGTCTCATCTCCTCTGCTATTCATTTTGGCACCTTGTGGTGATTTCGACTCCTGACCCTGTGCTCCCGACAAATGTTGGTTGAAGTGTGTGGTGAGGACAGGTTTTGGTTCTGATTCTGGTATACGCTCCGAAGCTGGTGAGAAGCCAGATTTCCTCTGGAAGGCTCCTCGGGGCTGGAGGAAATCCCTCCTGGCTCCTGGGGAGGCCTCTTGGTCTCGAGTTGATCCTGCTCCCTCCATGGGTGCTTTTCAGCTACTGTACCCCCTTCTCGCACCCTGGCTGACTACATCCATTTCGGTGCTAATTCTGCCGCTCCCTTTCTGGTTGGCATGACTTCACTAAGGCTAATTTGGAACTTCAATGGCTTCTTTGGGAAACTGCAGATCTCTGCA